ATGGATTCATTCTTCATATCCAACAAGAAATCAAATTCTATGTAAAAGATATATTTTCTCAAGTTAACGGATTTTAAACTATGCTTGAAGCTATTTACTCCAATATAAATTGAATATTATCATTTTAAGCCATTCTAAAACATGTGGTTATATAATAACTATAATATATTACAGAGCATCTCTAACAATATATTACAGAGCATCTCTGTTGGGCGCGTACGATATCAGCTGAGAAAAGGAAATAGTGTCTATGCATATAAGTACGAATTTTATGTTAGTAATTCTTTTGCGAGGAAACACCGATTTAAATTTCTACATATAGCAATTCTTTGAAAAATCTCTTTACTTTGTAATGTTACAATTAAGTCCTTAATTGAACAGTTTTGCTAATTAATATAATACGAATGTGACTACATGAACAAAAGTTAACTATTCTCTGTACAACGAGATGTTCACCTGTTTTACAAGCCCAGGACTAACTTTTTAATTTACCTACATGTATATTTACAAAAAAGCAAAGGCTTTTAAATGTAATGATCTTCTTAAAAATACCAAGCTGAGCTGGCAAGTCACAGATATGTTAAGAAACTCGTCAGCAACAGGTAAATCATCTGAATAACTGCGAGGAGAAACAACATATTCATCAAGGTTAGGTTATGCTACAGCACCAGCTATGGTTCCATAGGGATGAGCAAACTTCTCATCCATCAGTAAGTTCAGCAACACTGTCACGTCATGCTTGAACTGCTTGAGGGTGCTCACTGGAGTGGAGTCGTTGCTGTGCACATCACTTCCATCACTGTCTGACTGATGGCCACTGACAAGTTGATTGTTCTTGCTGCTGTCAGAGGAGTGGCATCCAAACGCTTTCACTTCATCTAGAGCTCCTGCACCCACATAATCATCACAGTTTTCTGTGGTTAAGCTTATTCCCCACGCACCGCCCTGGTTTTCGACATCAGAGTGTCCAGACAAAGCTTGATAAATAGGTACATGTAGTGATTGCCAAAAGCTGTTTGGGCCCTGTGAAAATTGACCATCTGGAACTTCAGTGTCACTGTATGGAAAATGGGCTTCCTCTTCACCCATAAACTGTGGAGCCATGGACGAAAACCAAAACTGGCCATCAAGGTCATCAGAGTCAACTTCACTGCTTGTTGAGCCCCTGTCGCACTCTTCATCAGACTGCGTCGGGGTCATACAGTAGAAATCAACAACTTCCTTGTCATCTGCATCACTGTCTTCATCGCTCGCAATGTACTCACTGATGTTGTCTGCAGCTGGCACAGGGGTAGAGATATCACACCACTGTACTGTTTCTAACTCTGTACTTCTGTCAGAGGCTTCTCTGAGTTGGTTTTGCATGTCTTCTGTTAGGCTTACTGAAGCGTCAAACCAACCTGAACATAGAAAAGTCCCACATTGTAAACAGTGAATTTTTAGAAGCAAGGGGTCTAGATGCATGTAAAAACAAGTTCTTGGCCACAATTAATTGGTTCAAAATAGTTACAAATATCATAGAAAAATTCCCTGAATTAGAAATGATCTTTTGTTTAAGAGTTGCCATGACCAATAGGATTGATTACTCAGACTTTGAGGGAGGGGGTGCTTCTAGAAAGTGTAAATGGCTATGGTTTATTCAAACATGTTCAGATTTTGAGGTATTTTGATTTTCACATGTGGCAACTAAGCTTATGTAAGTAGTTAAGTAAACTGAGTTTTGATGAAGTTTCCATCTGGACATTTTGGACCACTTGACTTTTTGGAGGAATACATGTACTGTATGTGCATAAGCACCTTGGGACTGAAATATGGTTCTGATTTCTTGCCAATCATGTTTAATAAATACCAGTTGTGAATGCTGTTGCATACAGTTAAAACCCAGGTGTAAGAACCTATATTTTTTCAAGTCTGGCAAAATAGCTTCCTGTATTTTGGGGTTTTTATTGGCAATTTAGGCTAAGTGGGTTCTTAATTTGGTTCTAAATTTCTATGAAGGAGATATAGTTGTTGATTACCAGAAAAATAAATAAACTTGGATTTGGTCATTAAATGTACAGTATTCATTCACAACTGTATTATGATAAGCCTAACACAAATGATTACATAATGAATAGGTAGTGGTATATTACCTCTATAACAATTTAACAATTTAACTGTAATCTACTCTAACCCACAGATACATGTATATAGAACCTGCTTGATCTTGCTTGGCTCAACAGGTTCTTATATTTTTGGGTTTTAAAAAGGCAAATTTCTGTCAGCAAGTTCTTAAATCACTAGGTTCTTACACACTGGCTTTTACTGTAAAGCACCAATCTCTGACTGTCTGAATTCTGTGACTGAAATATCAGATGTTTGTCATTTTGGGGGGCTTAGGAAGTGTTCATGCCTCTCCCCATCCCCTTGGCTTGATTATTAAGCCATGTTTACGAATTCTGTTCTGTGATTGGTTAAATGCCACTTGGATAAAATTTGAAACAGTTTAACTATGTGCATCCGCTCACACCTAGATCTTTAAAAACAAGGTGCTAAAAAAAGAGGGAAGAGAAAAATAGGATTCTTGTCACAGTGCCAGGGATTATGTAACCTCAAACATCAGATGAGTTATCACTTCTTCATGACTTCTAACAGACATCTATCAAACCCAAAGAGTTTGGCATGCAATACCGTAAATTTTCTTTTGTTTAATGTTTTGCTAAACCATTACTCGCACCTATCTTCCTTTTGCTCCAACTGAGCGTCTGTGTCTTGAAAAAGGGACATAAGAGGTTTATTTTAAACAATATTTGCTCCTTTTAGTTTTGCCACTTAAGGTATTTAGCCCTTTTAAAAAGCAAACCATGAAATTCAGTTCTTAGGGTGCACCGTAACACTTAACTAATTAACTAAACTTAGGTTACATTAGAATAACAAAGGCAAAAAGACAGAAACCTAAAACAAATAGTATTAAACTGAAAGTGTTTGGACTTGCTAAGATTTACTACAACACAATCTGTGCTTAGTATAAATACTCCTCATTCCAGAAAAGTCTGCTTTTAAAATTAACACATGCATGCACAAATTTGATTTTATTATTGACCTCAAATCACAAATGAACCTTGAAATGAAGCTATTAATACCATGCACCTACTTTGCACCCCTAACGTTGGACCATTCACTGATACAAAAAGGAAACACACAGCTTTTGTGAACAAGACAAAAACTGCTTTATTTCACCTTAACAACGAGGCAGGAAGTCACAAAGGATATACGAAACCCTGCAGCTTATGAATTAATATTGCATTACATTTTTGTGGTTCCAAATGATCTTATTCTTTTATTTTGGTGCCAGGTGTAGATTTTCAGATAGCACAAAGCCAACCACATTTTACCTGAAGGCCAAAGCTCTTAACAACCTTTACTCCTTATTTTGTTCTAGAATCTGGGAATTTAATGGAATAGGTTACATTATCTTCAGCAAAGAATCTTTGAAGTCTAGACTTGGCTTCACCTTAAGGACTTTATCTTGCTAACAATCAAAGGATTAATGGATGATCTATGTAATGATTTTAAATCTCTGTAAAAATTGTTTTGAGATGAGGGTGAAATGGTGAGCAAAACACACTGGCTTCTAAAAGTGGCCCATATATATCAACAATGGCATATCATGTTCAAGAGGGTAATAAGGAAATGCTAATTACCAGGTTTCAGATGCATCAAATCTTTAGTTGATTTTGTTCGCAAAAACAACTAATTTTTCCTGTGGAGAGTTTGGGGTTTAAAGGTTTGGTTGCAAACTAGTCAACACAAAAGCTCATAACAGCTTGTGACCTTCCATGCGCTAAGTTATGCTTGGGCAAATATTCTTAATTGATAATTCCCAAAGGATTGCGGCATTATGCAAATTGTGTTCAATCACTTCAATAGGGATCAAAAGATCACAGACATGTTTCAAAACATGCAATCATTCACATGCAATCAAAAGCATGAGAAAATAAAGAACCCATGTTAGTTTTAAGAAACAGGTAGTTACAAAAAGGAGGGAAATGATGACAAAATAATTAACAGAAGCCAAAAAGAAATAAAATTTTAAGTTAACTGATGAAAGGCACAAGAGGTAATTAACAAAATTAATGATTAAAAGTTAATGTGTCATATGACATTGACGATGTCCTTGATACTGAGTCACACCACAGAGATTGAACTGACATAAAATTTGACAAACTTGTATTTTGGAACATTGCAACAAGGGATTAATAACATTGTTGATCTGCATGACCAATTTAGAAGCAAGATATTTAAATGAATCATTATAACACCTACAAAACAAATTTCCTGTAAATTATCTACTTTAGCAAAAACCACTTCTGGCATTGTGCATAAATGCTTTAACCTTCCATTTCTTCTCCTTCCGGAGGAAAAACAAGATGTATTATTGTGCAAAATATATTGTGCATTTTTCATAAATGAGTATAATTAAAGAAATGTTGTTACCATTCATATCCTTGAGATGAAGCACTGCCCGTGTTGTGTTGTGAATCAAATGTAATGCCCAAATTGAGGCATCCTCCATGCTGACGTAGACTCGGGCATTTATGTTCATAAGGCAAACCAAGCGGTACAGAGCAAGGCAGCTTGGAATCGGTTCTATACCAAATCCATGGCCCCTCAGTGAGTCGAAGTTTCCATCAAATGCCGCACCCCCCTGGACCCACAACCCAGTGAAGGTGGGTATGCAGTCATGAAATATCCACGAACTGTTATTTACATCATAGTTTACAAACAGGTGAGGGACATCATTGTTGTTAATGACTGTCCACATTCCTGCTACTTCAGCCTGGATTTTGTTCTGCTCCTCAATGTCCCAGTGGTTGCTGCTGATAAAGTATTCGCAGTTGCTGACATAGCCGGTGTCGTAGCCTCCTTCTGATTCGTCATCACTGTCCGTTGTGCTACTGGCAATCCTGCGTCCTGACCTAGTGTCTTTTCTTTCAAAAGAAAAATTACCAATACTTCGTAGTGGCGATCTTGGACTTGTTAAGCCGCAGCTAGAAAGGGATGACGTGGCTGAGTTGCACCGACTGCTAAGGCGTTTAGGGGGGGACAGGTACAACTCCTTAAATGCACTCACCCCCATAGGGTGCATGAGAAAGTGTGGGTGGGTGAGTAAGTTAAGCAGCTCCAAGGCATCTTCTCGGAAAGACGCTGATATTGGGCTTCCGTTAGACAAAGAACAGGACATGGCTGCCTTCCAGTCGAAGACTTCAAAATTAATTCCTGTATCCCTGTGCTTCAGGCGGTACCGCCATATGCGATAAAATGTCAAACCGGTCTCGTCTGTCACGTAGGCCCGAAAGAGACAGAGCCATCGAAACATCACCACACAGCTTGGAATAACTTGATATGGCCGAATGTAGCGCGCTGGCTTGGTCATTTTCGTTTTAGAACTGAACCAATCTTCGCTGTATCCTCTTCGCTTGTCGATGAAAGTCCACTTTAGGTCATGTGTGTCGAAGAATAATTCAAAGTTCTTATTGAAACTCGACGTGTTGAACTCGTCTTCTTGATCAAAAACATCCGGCATTGCCCACTTCATCATCGTTCCCGCCATGTGCAAGAACATACTTTCACGCAATTCTACCTCGGTCAACTCATCGCCGCTTACACAACAAGAGATAAAATATTTCATGTAATCGGGGGTAAAGTTACCGCGGAGCGACAAATCTTGATACGTAGTCATCCAGTTGACACATGATAAAGATACTTTTTCGTACAAGAACTTCTGTGATGGCCATCGCAATAGCACCAGCCTCCGCCAAAGCGACGGAGTTTTGGCGATGTTCCTCCACTGTCTACAAACTGAGGAGGCTTTTGTCAGTGTAGGTGCATCGAAATACCCAAATATGTGAAGTAGAATTTCGTCTAAAAATACTGCCATCTCGATATCACGATGTTGACATTAGGAAAATAAAATTGCGCGCCACGAAGTCGTCGTCTCGAGCGGTTTTGTTCTGTTTCGTCACGAGGCATATGGTTTTGTTTACTTGGCCTCCACCGGAAGTCTACCTCGTTCTCATGGTGGACTTCGAGTTTGAACCGGAAGTCAAGTTGACGAAGATCAAGCGAACATATTTCCGTAGTCCTTCGACTGATCTTCGGAAGTGATTTTTACAACTGGTCTATTGCAGGCGCAGATAATCCTGCTACTTTCAAATTTGAGTTATCAACAGATTGGTGTTTTCCAACGTGGCGCAATAGATTCACTGGCGAAAGATTTTTGTGATTTTCGTACAGATACTACAGTACTTTTCAACAAGATTCGCAAGGTCAAAAGAGGTGAGGCTTACAATTGCTCGTTTCAGCGTTTGTTGTAAGTAAATTAAGCTGTAGTAAGCTAGGTTATATTTTGTGCAACATGAATAACTAGCATGAAAGCTTTCGTACGTACGTGGCAGCTTCTCGTGCGTTTCAGTGAAAGAACATTTGATCGACTTAATATCGAAATGCAATTTATTTCCAATCGTTATTTTTTATTGCCACAGCTACTTACTTTACCAATGAATTTCCTTTGGTGGTTTTTAAAAAAATAAAAAAAGGGGGATATATATAAGGTAAATTATAACCTTAAGTCTCAAATATATACTTAAGCTTACCAGTATTGTACACTGTGTAACAATAAGCGTATAAGTAAGCTTACATAACCTTAATAATTAGGTCTATGTTGCACTGCAAAATAGTTTATGGTGTGAAGTGTTTTAAAATAAATCAATTTTTTTCCATATTTTCTGATTATGATAAATATGGCTATTGCACAACGTTGAATATAATTCGTCCAGGATTGAAAGGCCTATTTTATAATAACTAAATAAGACTTGGCTATATGTAGAGATTGTCTTCTGTTTGAAGGTTTTGTACCCTCCCCTTTCTAACCCACAAACGTCGGAGAAATTCAGTTCTGAGGGAAAATGACATTATGCCTAAATATTCCACTCTGCTCAAAACTTAGACTAACTAATGCAAATTTTATTGCATCTGTCTGCCTGTATGTCTGCTGCCCATAATCTACCGATGCATGAAACAAAACACTGGAATGCCAACTGATGCAATCACTGTTTAAATTTCTTCATTCTACAGGAATTCTTATAGTGAGCAAGGTTGCATGTCCTCCACAGAAACATGCTTGTGATTGCTTACATCTCATTTGGTGTTCTCTCAAGTCTCTGTGGTATTTTCCACTTCATGTGCAAAACAGGACAAAGAGAGGAAGTGATGATAGCCAACCCTAACTTTGTTTCATTCCAGAATAGTTACTTTAAGGTTTATTTCCCAGCGCTGATGGCCGAGTGGCTTCAGGGTCCCTACCTTTATAAATTATACAGTCACTACGGTTTCATTGACACACAAATTGCCATAATATATGTGTGCGGCTTTGCATCAAGCGTCGTGTTTGGAACTTCAAGTGCATACTTTGCGAGTGTATTTGGACGTAAAAAGGCCTGTGTTGTCTTCACATTACTTTATTCTCTGTGCTGCGTAACAAAACTGTCAAGAAACTATGGCATCCTCATCTTTGGCAGAGTACTTGGTGGAATCTCGACATCTCTGTTGTTCACGGCTTTTGATGCATGGTACTTGTATGAACACACGCAGACCCACAATTTCCCAAATGAGTGGGTATCAGCAACGTTTGCCAAAGCAACACTTTACAACAGTGTGATTTCTGTAGTGGCTGGAATTTTAGCTAATACCATTGCTGAATGGATGCAATTTGGACCTGTAGCACCATTTGTACTTGCAATACCGTTCCTTATTGCTGCTGGGATTTTGATTCAGTTTACTTGGGATGAAAACTATGGTGGAAAAAATCTCAAAGTTATCCAGCCATGTATGGAGAGTTTACGGCACATTGTAACTAACAACAAAGTCATGTTGATTGGCATTGTTACGTCACTCTTTGAGAGTGCCATGTACATATTTGTCTTCTTGTGGACACCGGTGTTGGACAGAGCACACCTTTACCCTCCACTGGGAATTGTCTTCTCTTGTTTCATGTTATGTGTGACACTGGGCAGCTTTCTGTTCAACTTTACAGTCAAGCGTGGAATAAACCCATCCAGTGTGGTTATTCTAACTATTGTTGTTGCATCAGTAGCCAACATTGGTGCAGTATTTGCAAGCGCAGGACATCCACGGATATCATTTCTTATGTTCATCGTTTTGGAGCTTGCCTGTGGTGTTTACTTCCCAGCAATGGGTTGGCTGCGGCAAACAATTCTTCCTGAAGCGCACCATGCAGGCATTATCAACTGGTTCAGGGTTCCCCTGAATGCTATTGCAGCAGTTGTTTTGATGGTACTTCATGATACACACAGTGGTCATGGCATATCTGCAATATTTGCACTTTGTTCCATACTGTTAGCTGTGGCAGGAATAGCTGCTGTAAGACTTTCTGTTTTGTCAAGAAATGATGAAAATGTACAAGTTATCAATAATATGGAAGAAGGGCTGTAACACCCTCCAGAAATGTTGGTCTCCATTGATTGTTATTGTTTAATTCATCAGCAGTGGCTTTGAGATTGTCAATAATAAGTACCTTGTAGGTCAGTGGAGCAATTTAATTCTGGCAGAGCAGATTTTTCCATGGCAACAAAACCATTGAGCAGCAACAACCAGGCACTGTGATGGACTAAATCAGGGGAATATGTACTGAACAAATATTTAACAGTAGAGGAAACTGTTATCTGCAAAGATTAGTAGGCATTGGATTAGATTAGTAACATGTTAAGTAACTAAAGATCTGCAATAAATGGTAACAATACAGCAACTTTATAGCTGACAGTAAATTAAATATAAATTAATAATAATATTATTGCATAAAATGCAACAGTTACAGGGTGTCATGTATGCAAAAGCATTGCTCAAATTACATTTCGCTACATTTTCTTCGTGGCTTTCCCATCAGATTTGCTTGAGGAACGTTCAAAAGTTTTGAGAATACAGTTGAACCCCTATTAAGTGGCCACCTTTTAAATGGCCACTCCTATCAGGTGGCGAGTAATCAAAGTCCCGATGAAGGCTCTTCTATTGTTAAGACCTCTATTAAGCTGCCAGCTCCCTTTAAGGATGTTTGTGCTAATTGTTTCTGTACATCCTTACTGCGCACGCAAATTCATACACCACATAATGCATGAGAGCGCATGCTAAGTAATAAAATGAACATGAATAGAGCAGATGGCCATTGCTATAGTTTTGCCTGGATTTAACAATCGTGCACGTTCAGTGACCCCTATGTTTCTTTTGATGGATCATTTTCTCTACCGATTTGCTACATTTAGCGAAAAAAATATGAAGAAAATCTATTGACTAGAGGTTTGAATTTTTTCGCAAAATCCACCATTGAATCCCATTCGTTTTAATTCTACGTTTATCTGTACGATGGTTTCAAATGCCTATTGAAGGGTCAAGTTTTTTAAAAACGTTGGTAACATTTGGAATTATTTATGCAACAGACCCGCTTCTACAAAATATGACAAAGATCATTTGTCTCCATTGACTCACCCCAAGTCAATATTGTTAACTATAAACCCCCGTAGACCATGCTGAATTACGTGCACCAATTTTTTTAAAATCAGGGTAGTTTTCCACACACTTTATCTCTGAAATGAAGTTGGTAACCCCCAATTTTTTTTTGCATTTCTGACACAAGTAACAATCTGACTGCAGTAAAAATTAAAAAAATATATATTGACTGGAAAATTTTCGTGTGAACGAGCTATCCATTTCTCTGAGGGTGGCCATTTAACAGGGGTTGATGTGTACCAGGATTTTTAAAGGATGTTTGTTCAATCTAATTGTTTGTGCATGTCGTTACTGCACACACCATTCACATGCCATGTCATGCATCATCCTCAAGGTGTACACTAAGTAACTAGTAAGTTTCGATAATAGAAACTAATAACTGTGATGGTGGCCACTGCTGTAGCCTGATTCTCAGATGGTCCAGGTTGCTCACGGCCTCGTACTCTCTCAAGGGAGAGAGAGTGTGTGGCTGCGAGCAACCTCACCCGTCTTAGAATCAGGCTATCACTGCTACAGCTTTGATGGTTTTAGCAATCCAGAATGTTTGGAAAACGGTGTTTTTCTTTTGAAAGATCTCAAATATTCTCTACCATTTTCCTACATTTTATGAAAAAATGGGGGGAAATCATCAAATGAATATTATTTAATAGAAGTTTGAAATTTTTGTCCCAAATTTGACCTTCCTTGTAATAATGAGAAAGTTTCTCAGAATGCTCAACAGAGACTGAGTACTTCTCAATTCCAGTGTTAGAGCAGTCAGCTGTGCTTAACCAAAGACAGCACTTTCTAATCACAAACACCTTCTGATATTTATTTTGCTTGTGCTTATACAGGAACTTTGCTTAACCTCTAAAGGAGACCAATCTCCCCAATTTTGTTATCAGTCACATACCATCATTATGATCAGAAACGTCTTTTCCTACTGTTTTGTCTTTTAAATGTAATTGTTAGATCTTATCAAAGATTTTTATGCCTTTTTAGTCATTGCTGCTTCTTGTTAGCCACTTCAGCCACAGCTGGTGCTCATGCATTTGCAGGTCCTCTGGCCTGGTTGAATGAGGATTTTGAAAAGTTGGCTTTTTAGGAGGGAGGAAAACCAGAGTACCCAGAGGAAAACCCTCAAAGTAAGGCAACAACCAACAACAAACATGAACCACATATTCAAGACACTGGGAGGAATGTTCCCTACTCCCACTAGATGGGGTGAGGGCACAGTGGCCTTACAGTTAGCGTGCTCGTCTTCTGATCAAGCAGTCCGGGTTTGAGCCCTGGCCAGGGACATTGTATTGTGTTCTTGGGCATGACACTTCACTCTCACAGTGCTTCTCTCCACCCAGGTGTGCAAATGGGTACTGGCGAATTTAATGCTGGGGGCAACCCTGCGATGGACTAGAATCCCATCCAGGGGGAAGTAGAAATACTCCTAGTTGCTTCATGCTACAGAAACCGGGATAAGTTCTAGCCTGATGGG